GCTTAGGTCATGATCTCGCGGTTCGTGGGTTCGAGCCCCGCGTCGGCCTCTGTGCTGACTGCCAGCTCAGAGCCTGGAGCCTGTTTTGGAGTCTGTGACTCCCTCTCTCTCTGACCCTCCCCTGCTCACGCTGTCTCTCTCTCTCCTAGAAATAATAAATTAAAAAAAAAATTAAAAAAAAAATAAAATAAAGTTTGAGGGGGCAAATCCTTTTCAAGTCATAAGATTCTTTAAATACTGAAAATATGTCTTACGATTAAAGTCTGTTCCCTCTTCCTGAAAAAATGCAATTTTTTTATTAAGTAAGGAGATGTGGACAGGCTCACCACTCTACCTTCTGGATCATTCTTTCTTTCAACAGAGATCTGCATCTGCTGAGTCCCTCTTTTATTCCACGCTCTGTGCTTGTGCTGAAGTTTTTGTGCTGAGCAGGCAGATAGGAGTCCTCTGTGAATAAGGCCTCTTTCACAAATAGCCAGTGCAGGGCCAACTTCACGGTTGCAGGGACTGTGTAGTCACCCAGGGAGTCATGCTTCGAAAGATGAATGCTCTGTTCTTGCTGTCTTAAAACCCTTAATTTTGAAGCAGCTCTGCATTTTTCTCTGGCACCACGACCTGCACATTGTGTTAAGTGGTCTTAAACCTAGCTTCCAAAGGTTGTGAGAAATTGTCTATCTATCTGTCTGCCTGTCTGTACTGAGTTTATAACAGATTTTCTTTTTTCTGTACCTGGGCAATTAGATTGTGAAATCTAGGTTATAGACTCTAAGTTTGTCTATATAGTAAGTTACATCTTTTTAGATTCAACTTATTCCATCCTGTCAAGAACATTTATTATTCTTCTCTATAGCACACCTTCATGTCTTATGCCATGAACCTTGCTGCCATTCAATTAAACTTACTCCTTAGTTGTTTTACATTTGATCTGCATTTCAGCCTCCTTACCTTTTCTGACTCTGCACTTATCATGACTGCCCCGAAATTACTCCTCAGAGGGGCGCCCAGATGACTCAGTTGGTTAAGCATCCGACTTAGGCTCAGGTCATGATCTCACAGCTCCTGAGTTCTAGCCCTGCGTCAGGCTCTGTCCTGACTGCTCAAGCCTGGAGCCTGCTTCAGATTCTGTGTCTCCCTCTCTCTCTCTGCCCCTTCCCTGCTCACACTCTGTCTCTCTCTCTCAAAAATGAATAAACTCTAAAACAATAAAATAAAATAAATAATATATCTCTAAATTGAATTTAAGATAAAAGAATTAAAAAAATATTCCTCAGAAAAGAGTAAGTTGCTTTATGCCAGAATCTTTATGAAGAGTCTGTAGTTCAGACCCCGTTTTCAATTCCTTTAGTTTGAAAAAAAAACAGAGTTTTTCAGAAAAATGTCTAGGTTGGGAATGGACTTAATGAATGCCAGCTTTGGATACGTATCAAGGTCACCTACATGAATTGGTAAAACATTAAGTAATTTAGTAATTATCTCTTTTAAAAGTCATTGTAAGCAAGTCTTTTAAAGATAACTTTAAAGATAAATTGAATAAATAAATGACCATATTTTAGAAATCTTTAAGACATATTTACAGCACAAATGAACAGAACAAATGACTGTTCTAATGTTATGTGAAAGAGTACTTAGGCTTTGGATAAATTTGCAGTAACATATAACAGGATCAAACTAGAATTTAGAAAGGGATGTCTTTGAGGCACTGAGATGGAAATGAAACCTTAATATCTTTAAAACTGGTCAAACTTTAAAAACTGGTCAAAAAGTGGCTTTGGCAATGATTAAGACAGTGACATTCAAAATGCATGTAAAGAGGTTGAATAAAACTGTTTAATGAAAGGTGGGTACAGAAATAAACAATATTTTAAAACTAATATATTCTTTATATAATGTGGTTTCAAATATGGATGTGTGAAAAAATTAAAAATTAAATATTACAAGTAGACATTTGGCTATTATAGCTATATCTCTAAAAGTTTAAATAGTCAAGTTGACCAAAACAAATAAACGAACAACTTGGGTTTATTTGCCCTCCTAAAATGTCTCTTTCTCTTAATTGAAATAGTTTAATTTTTTAACAATCCTATATTGTAATTCAAAATGTTTGGAAAAGACTGTAAACACAATTTCTTTTCAGAAAGAACCCAGTCTTTTTTTTTTTTTTTAATGTTTTATTTATTTCTGAGAGAAAGACTGTGTGAACAGGGGAGGGTCAGAGAGAGAGGCAGATACAGAATCTAAAACAGGCTCCAGGCTCTGGGCTGGCAGTCAGCACAGAGCCCGATGTGGGGCTTGAACCCACGAACCATGAGATCATGACCTGAACCGAAGACAGACACTTAACCGACTGAGCTACCCAGGCACCCCAGAAAAAACCCAGTCTTAACTATTGGATTCAGACACACATACACACATACTCTGTCTCTTTTTCTGTCTCTCTATCTCTCTCTCCAAAGAATGGTGGTGTTAAAAGATAAACTGAGGCATATTAAAAATTTTTAAACTTTGAACAAGAATCGATTGGAATGGGACAGTCGTTAGGAAGGGGTTAGTGGGATTGCCAGCTCACAGGAGCAAGGGGGAAAGTCTTTTATAGAGAAAATGCAGAAGCAAAGAAGGAAATTATTTGATTGGTTATAGCTTAATGCTTAGTTGGCAGTTTGTGATTGGCTGTTTTTAGAGTCCTAACTCTGTAACCTTGAGGCATTTAGGGTTTAGATTTTGGTTTGCTTATGTAGGCCCCTGTGGCATGAGAGCCACATGAGTCTCATGGCTTCCTTGTTTGATTAATTTAACAGAGTGTAAAATGTTTTCACCTCCCTCCAGTGTAAGAGCAGACTTAACTTGCATTACATACAGTCAGCCTAGGGAAAAATGTAGGAGGCTGCCCTTCTTGGCTTGTCATCTATGCTCTGATTTATGCAAGTCTAGGTTATATGATCTTTAGTCCTTGCCTCCATTACCCTGAAAGGCAAATCTTTACACACAAGAGTAGATGGATCTTCAGTGTTTTCTGAATGGAGTATCAACAGCACAAAAAAGACTTGTCATGCTAATGATGATCAGCTTTCACAGCAAAATTTAAAGGCTCTATTCCTTACCAAGTGGGATTTTCAGAAAGGGGAAGAAAAATCCCTTGTGGCCTAGTTTCTAGCTGGAGAAATCTTCCAAAAGTGCTGATATTTTCATGATTCCTCCTAAAATGTTATGAGCCTAAAGATGACATATTAGTAGATTATTTATCTGCATTGGCAATTAATTTTCTGTTGGGAAAAACAACAGTGAATTTAAGAATGTTAAATTAATTTTTAGGTAATCATCAAAGCAAAGATGAAATGAATGATTTATAACACACAATTTATAATTGTTGAGCATTTAGCTTTAAATATTTTTTAAGGTTTATTCGTTTTTGAGAGAGAGAGTGCGACTTGGGTAGGGACAGAGAGAGAGGGAGACACAGAATCTGAAGCAGGCTCCAGGCTCTGAGCTGTCAGCACAGAGCCTGACAAGGTGCTTGAACCCACGAATTGCAAGATCATGACCTGAGCTGAAGTGGGACGCTTAACTGACTGAGCCACCCAGGTGCCCCTATTTAACTTTAAATCTGGATAGGACATGCCTTAAATGGTGATACTGGGTGTATCTTTAT